GCATGGCACGACAGCGCCATTGCCGAGCATGGTGTGTACCAAAGGATTGTGGAGGTCCATGAAGAGTGTGGTGGAAAGATTGTGGTGGATTCTGCATTCGCYCTGAAAGAATACAAGGATAGCCTCATCAAGAGCTCACAGAAGGACCCATATCAAGCAGACCGGATACTCCTCAACAGGGATGCAACCTCGTTGAGACAGATGTCGGAATGGGGAATGCGTATGATCCAGGGACAGTTCCCTAGAATCAAAGACAGGATGTGCTTGGAGGAGCATGGGGAAAGAAAGATCATCATGAACCTTCTTATCAACTTGTATAACTACCAGTGTAGTTATGTAGGACACAACATGATCCTATCAAGTTTCATGAGGACGCCACCGGCGACGGACCCAGCCATTCCCCACGAAGAGTTAAGGAATGACCTCGCAGGAGGATACTTTCATGTAGGACGCCAGCTGTCTGCGGATGGAAATGGAGTATTTCCTTCTTAAGGAAATCCCATGGTGAAGAGGTGAAGAGGGCATTGTTGTTAGTCAAGTTTAGCGAGGAACAAGAACAAAAGATTGTTCACGATCGTTGTTCACGACAACGATCGACAATGGATACTTTCCGAAACGATGCAACGACAACGCGATACAATCAACGCACGAGGAGGATACGATACGGTTTCATTGCCATGGTGCAAAGAATTCAATGGTTAGTTTCCTTAACTGGTTTGAACTGGCAACACTACTGTGTTTCATTCCATGAAGCAAGAATATGAGCAAGCAGCTATCGAAGCAGCAAGCAGCTATCGTAGGAGGAAGCAGCTGTTGTAGGAGAAAGCAGCTATCGTAGGAGGAAGCAGCTAAGTATCTGATACACGACGAGTTAGGTTTTCGTGTATACACCTGTGACCTGGCTTCCACGTTTGTTGATACATACAAATGATGGAGTAAATACCGATTTATACTGTAATGAATATAAGTTCAACGTTATACTGCAATGAAAAAAGTTTTATGATAGACAACATGTGCATGCCGATCCGAACCGTTTTCGTGGGACTTCCCACGCGTTGATACGGGCAAAACAGTTCTAATCCCGCATTGGACCTTCACAAGAAAACCTTCATCAGCAAGCTTAGTGGATAAGTACGAGACGCTACAGAAACCACGCTAACAACGCTAACAAGCTAAAGCTCATTGTTTTGTATGAGGAAACATTGTACAGCAGTATAGTTTAGTTAATTTAGTCTAATGTAATCTGTTAACCATGGTGCTTGTTTTCACCATGGGATTGTTGTTCATCTCCTGTGCGTTTGCGTTTGTTCGATGATGAAGCAGGCGGCGGAGCAGCAGATACTGCAGTCGATGCAACTGAAGGAGGACTGTAGTAGTGGGACTGGTACGTCGGAGGAGGACCATGGTAAGACTGTTGTTGTTGCTGTTGCTGTTGCCAGGTATTCATCATGGTAAGAGCTGCTCCAAGGAATTTCTCTGCCACTTCCTTTACACCACTCCACATCTCAATACTGCGTTGGTCTCTTCTTTCCTCTCTTTGTTCCTGCTTCATAATGTATTCGTTGAATACAGCGGCGTCGGGGACACCAGTTTTCCTTTGTCCATGCTGGTAAGATCTCTTCTTTGCTGGTGTAGATTCAACAAGAGAAGGGGTCAAGTTACTGGCAGAAGCAGAGGAAGCAACAGTAGCAACATGGTGGTACTCCTCACGAGCAGGCTGTTGCTCCTGTTCCTCAAGATCCTCGACAGCGCGTTCACGATCTCGATCTCCATACATCGATCCGGCACTTGATCCGGCAATTGCAGCTGTAGTTGCTGCCCCGGAAGACAGTGCTGTTAAACCTGCTACAGCCTCACTCTTAGCATAGCCTTCTGTGATATCAAACTCCTCCTCTGCAGTACCAAGATTTGCCTTTTCACCAATCAGCTTGTGGGCAAGCCGGGCCATACTCACGTACTCTGGCATGTTTGGATTTCCAGTAGAGCTCTTCATCCTCCTCACAGCCGCATACTTAGTCCTGATAGAGTTCGTGGTCCTACCAACAGGCCAACTCTCAGCATGCTTTGCTGTAATGAACTCCCATCCCTCACCACACGTGGGAAGAACATCCAGTATCAACCTCATGAGGTCAGTGACCTCTGCTCGAGAGTAGTTTATAGTACCAGTCTTTCGGCCGGTATTGCCACTGGCTGCAGGCTGAGCAGTCCTGCGGCCACCACTATTGCCAGCAGCACTACTGCCACCACCAGCAGTTGGTGCCTCCATGGTGGTGTTACTAGTAACAAATATAATGTGGGGGATGGGACAACAATGTTGTTGCTCGCCCTCCTCCTCTTGCTCCTCTCTTTGCTGCAACAAAGAGAGGAAATAGAATGCACTGACTAACAGCACGGATCGAGACATTGTTTCTTTATGTCTTGGGCGCCATTCTTATATACTAGTGAAGAGGCGCCTTCTTTGGTACTTGTTTAGAAAAGAGTATGTTTGACCGGGTGTTAATTTYGGCGGGCCTTTCTGTTGAATCTTACAACGGACTCGAAATTTTGATTCGTGGGTTCCCTAGTAATAGATTTAGCACATTTTGGATCGGTCCGTTGGACCCATCCAAAATATGCTAAATCTATTACATTGTGTGCTAGAATTTTGGTCCGTCCGTCTATCAAATTTAGCATTTCTATAATAACGGGAATCACTCATTCACTCACAAATCGCTCTATTGCAAAAATGGGAGTATTAGGGTATGATTAATACATACGTATGATACTATGATTCCATATCGATAATATTATGGTATACAGTACGTAGGGTACGAGTACATGATTTATGATTTGTGATTTTCAAAGAGGAATCGTATCGAATCGTAGTACCGTACTTCGTACCATCCATCGCCAAACAAAAACCATCTCGTCAAAACTGAACTTCCGTTCCGGTTAGGGCAACTCGAACGAGTAGTACGGGCACGCGTACTGATACGAGTACGAGTACTACGCCGAAACCCAACCCTTTCTACTGTTCAGAACAGCACATGAAATGGGTTCAACAAAGTGCCGGTTGTTATTTTCTTCTAGTCACAAGATTCCTTTTCACCATATCGAAGAACAGCATCGGCACCGTACACTAGAACAACATCAGCAAAACACGGAGAGAATTCGTTTCTTCCGTAGCCAAGTGCTGTTTTCAAAAAAGAAAAGTTGCCGAGANTTTCGTCCTGAACGATTCCGACATTTGGCATATCTACCCGTGATTTAGCTCACACTCGTATCAAACGGACAAACCCTAGTCCCATAAATCATATTCACTCACAAATCGCTCTATTGCAAAAATGGGAGTATTAGGGTATGATTAATACATACGTACGATACTATGATTCCATATCGATAATATTATGGTATACAGTACGTAGGGTACGAGTACATGATTTATGATTTGTGATTTTCAAAGAGGAATCGTATCGAATCGTAGTACCGTACTTCGTACCATCCATCGCCAAACAAAAACCATCTCGTCAAAACTGAACTTCCGTTCCGGTTAGGGCAACTCGAACGAGTAGTACGGGCACGMGTACTGATACGAGTACGAGTACTACGCCGAAACCCAACCCTTTCTACTGTTCAGAACAGCACATGAAATGGGTTCAACAAAGTGCCGGTTGTTATTTTCTTCTAGTCACAAGATTCCTTTTCACCATATCGAAGAACAGCATCGGCACCGTACACTAGAACAACATCAGCAAAACACGGAGAGAATTCGTTTCTTCCGTAGCCAAGTGCTGTTTTCAAAAAAGAAAAGTTGCCGAGATATACTAGATTCTTGCTTGAAAACAAAACAACACGGAAGTTGAGGCTGATTCAGTTCTATCCGCTTGCGGTGTGGTGGTAATTKTATTTTGTTCATAGATTTAAGGCTCGTGGATTCAAAATGGGACGGTATCACTTTCGAGACGACGAGGAGGACGACRAGCACCACATCGATGCCACAGACAATGATCACAACAGCAACGGCATGCACCATTGCTATGGAAGCAGCCTAGAGGAAGGAGAAATCATAGAAGAAGAAGAGGGGGATATGACCAGAGATTACCGTCGAACCAATCATCACAACAGTCACCATGGAATGGACATGGACATGGATATAGACGTCGTCGTCGACGACGACACCAATTGTGATGATTACGAATCCCGCTGCTCTCAAACGTGGCGCCAGGCTCCGAAAAGATCCGCGGTCGAATTTTGCGACATCGATCGCTATGACGATGTCAACGATGCTGACTTTGACCATGGAAATAGAAAACGGCCGTTCTCTTTCTCTGTCCCTTCCTTTGCGTCCCTCGCGGGAGGGAGGGCACATGGCGACGACCGTTGTGGTGATTCTCAAAACAATTGCCGGAAAGCTAGAGAAGATGGAGGCCACGACGGTGTCGACGACGACCCCGACGATGAGAGATGCAGGGGATCCCAGGACCAAAAMTCCGAAACCCAAAACGAATACCGATTGATAGCCTCATCCAAATACGATCGAAACTACGATCGGGACGATTTCTTTTGTGGCAGCGGCACYAATGCGTTCAGCGAGGGTGAACAAGACCACGAACACAACGATGTCAACAATGGCARTACGCATAACACGCACTGTCCCCAGCATGATGGCAGTAATCAGATAGTGCGATCTCCTTTCTCGAATCAACGGCAGCTTGCTTCCAACACGAGCAACGCCAAGCCCGAAATCCATTACCATATTTACGTTTCGGAATCACAAGCTTCCCGCTGGTTCCCCCCCGTGGAAGATGAAATCAACAGCCGYCACYATGACGATGGAACCGAGAAGGACCRGAGAACGAGGCGAATTGGGGGGATAAAACGAATAACATCCATGGCCCTCTTGACCCATCTTTTGGCGCTGCTGGCCTATCGGTACAACCTGATCCCAGCAGTGCCAGAATGGATGTCTGTATCACCACCACCMTCGTATTTGACCTGGGACGAATACTACCACGACCAGTTTCGGTTGGTCAAGAGARTTTCCAGGGAAGCGAACTCGCTGTGGAAGCACCTGCTAACAACCGCAAGAGCAAGGTCATCGAACATAAAGAGTAGCAGAACGAGCAGTGATATCGCTGCTCCGATTTACGACTTTCCCGAGTCTTGGTGGTCGTTTCCAGAAAAACAACAGGCRTCACAMACGAATATCGACGTTGATGGCGGGTTTGAKGATGGCCAATACAACTCGTTCGACGTCGACAGATACTACCCACACCACGGATGGCTACACGGCCACGATCAAGTTTTGGAAGATCTCCGGATCGGTTTGAACGCTTGGTCGTCCAAAAAAGCGAATCAAAGGGAAGCTCGCCAACGCCAGCGCAAACGGCATGGGTACCATAGTAGCAGCAGCAGCAGCAGTAGTAGCCTCCATGCCCCTCCACTCGTGATCTATGCCTCGGGTGGAAAGGGGGTCGGCAAACGATCCTTGGCTCGGCTGCTGTTGGGACAATTGCTCCGAACCCAACGAACCAATGGCAATGAGATGGACACCAGGAAGGTACCGAACACGTCTTTGGACGACTGCGAAGATGTTTGGGCACAGCAAAAAGCAGCAGCAACAGCAGCACACTCGTGATCTATGCCTCGGGTGGAAAGGGGGTCGGCAAACGATCCTTGGCTCGGCTGCTGTTGGGACAATTGCTCCGAACCCAACGAACCAATGGCAATGAGATGGACACCAGGAAGGTACCGAACACGTCTTTGGACGACTGCGAAGATGTTTGGGCACAGCAAAAAGCAGCAGCAACAGCAGCAGCAACAGCAGCAGCCACCGCTTTTCGATGGGACGAAACTTTCCAGGAGGAGAACGTTGCTAGATCGGAACGTGGACGCTCGCGGTATTGCCCCCTGTTGCACCTGACGCCTTCGGATTATTATTTGGAAGAAGAGCAGGAAGACGTCCATRGTGGACAGGGCCATGGCKACGATGGCGTTTTGTCTTCCCATCTGCATCGCAGAATTCTAGACCACGTYGTGGCAGCCGGCGGGGGGGCTTCCATTGTCTTGTTGGATCGAGTGGATTGCTCTTGCCATCCAACAGACGATAGCGATGCCGCAGCAATCCGTGATGGCATGCATTCCGCAACGGGTTGTACCTGCGGAGGCGAGCACTCGGGACGATGGTGGCAAGGTCTGAGGATGTTCATTGCTTCCCAGCCGGCGGTCTTTGAAAACACGATCGTGTTGATGACCTCTCACGTCGGGACGGCCACGGCCGAGAAGTGGACGAGAAAACGCTTGCAGCAGCGGGCCTCTGCATCGGAGATGCGGTCCAAGAAAAGCGAGCTGGAATCCCTGCTGCGGTACGAGATCCACAATTATCACCACGGTAGCAGTGGCAGGAGCGRCCACGGGACGGACGACASCCGGGTCGACGGCCTGGGCACCGACGACTGGCTCATCGTTCCGATGGCACCCCTCGATCGGGATGCCATGGGCACCATCCTTGGTCGAATGGCTTCCACCGGTGATCCGATGGGGGACGCAAAGCGGACCGGAGAGGCCTTTCCTTCGCATCCGCATCCGCACCGCCTTTCRGCGACGGAATCGGCGGCCGATCGGATTCTCGACGCGCTGGAGTGGCACCGGTGGGTCCACAAATCCAGCGGGGACGTCCTGAGGACCTGGAGCCCGGGCGGGGCGGCCCCCCTGGTGCGGTTCTGGAAGGAGCGGGTCTCGCAAGAGGTCGAGGACCGCCGGAAAGCGTGCGTCCCTTCCGGGGAGGCCCCCCCCGGAAGCCCGTGGATTCTTCTGCTGGACACCGACGCCGACGCCGACGAAAAGGGATCCGGCGATCGGCTGGTGCTGCGGTCGTGCCTGCCCGCGACCGAGGGCGAAAAGGATGGCGGCGATCCTTCCCCCCCTTYCGGCCGCGGCCTCGCCAGGAGGACCGTGGAGGGCCGGCGCCTGGGGTGCTTGGGGGAGGACCCTTCCGCGGAGGATTCCTACGCCTGCCGCTTCTACCTGTGAGCGCCGCGGGGGACGGGACGGGACTAGACGAGACGAAACACGAGGCGGGACGAGACTAGGACAGGAGAGAGCAGGGCAGGATAGAACAAAGASTTCCGTGGAAACACCGGCTACTGGTTTGGAGGGATTGCCGCATCGGTCAGACCCTATCGCAGCGGGAGCCACGTTGGTCTCGACGTTGATGGTTTTGTGGCAAAATAAAATAAAAACGCCGTGCTTGCTTTGGTACCACATGGCATTCTGCCATTGCTTACACCTATCGGTTGCACGCACTCTATSGAAAGCATCCATCTGTCACGCCTACAAGATTAGAATCATTACAGTAACCCGTGCCATCGCTAGATACCAACCGGCACGGTAAATTTAAAAAAAACGGCAACCGGGTCTATGGTTTTGCATACCGCGAGGTGCTTTTGGTGCGATGGTCCGYGCTGCTCGTGCCGGCTCCGGTATTGATCTCTCGCATCTCGTTTTGTATCGTATCGTGTCGATCTGTATTGTAACGTTTCGTGTCGCAAGCGGCGCTCGGACGCAACGAGTGGCAGAACGGACCCGTCCCCCCCGGTGCCGGTGTGTCTCCCCCCGCCCCGTTCTCCGTGGCCTCCTCCCTAGGCCCCCGCCGGCGCCCCCGCCCCCTTCCTCTTTTTTTGGCGCAGCTGCACGCGAAAGTCGAACCGGTCCTCCCGCTCCCGTGCCTCGGCCCGCTCGAGGAGGTCCATCATCTCCTCGATCGAGAGGGGGACCCCGGCGGACGAGCACAGGACGTCCTCCGAGAGGTCCTCCGGGGTCAGGGCCGCCACGTCGTCCAGGGTGTGGATGGCCCGGTTCCCCAGAACGAGCCCGAGGCTCCCGCTTCCGGCCGGCTTGCAGGGCTGGCAGACCGGGGCRCCGGAAGCGGGCCCGGGCGGCGGCAGCAGGCCCAGCGGACCCGAGGGGGGCGGGAGCTCGTTCCGCGGCGTCGGTGGCGCGAGCGAAAAAGCGAGGTCTTCGCCAAACACCCGCAGCGGGTGCAGGGGATCGCCCGGATCGAAGGGCACCTGGGCCCAAGGGTTGGGGGTCCGGCTGCTTCCGATAAACCCGCAAGCAGCCTCTCCCGCATCGAAGGCAAGGGGCACCGGATCGAAATCCTCGTGGCCTTCGTCTTGTTGCCGGCGGGGGTCCGCGTCGATCGGGGTGCTGCCTTTGCCTTTGCCGTTGGTGTTGGTGTTGTCGTTGGTGTTGTCGTTGGTGTTGCTGATGTTTCTGTTGCTGCTGCCACCGCCCGGGCTCTCGCTAGCCGCGGGCGTGATTCCGGAGTTTCCGTGGCCGCCAGCGCTGCCGGCCGCCGCCGTTGGCGATCCCCCTGCTGCCGCTGCTGCCGCCGCCGCTTGGGACTCGCATGCTCCCGCTTCGCTGCAGCATTCCGGGTCTTCTTCGGAGCGCCGTCTTTTTTCGCCGCGATCCTTCATGGCCGACGGGGAACGAGAAACCGGTGGTGGTACGAGTGCGATTGCTGCGAGTGAAATGCGATGCCGGTGGGACGACAGAATCGGTGTGTATCAAG